TTAAAGAACATACCATCTTTAGGTTGAACCCACCCATTTTTTAAATGAGCAAAGCTACTGGAACACGTGAATGACAAGTGTTTCCTGTTGCTAGGTATTGCCTTTTAGATTGATTGTTTAAACATTAAATAGCTCTGAAGGACTACTATTGGTTTTAGTCTTGGGTTTTACCTGTAAAGAGTGTATTTCTTGTTAAAAAGGATAAACCAACATGAAGACGAGAGTGCTGTCTAAGGAAGTGATATATACCGAAAAGGCATATATTTGAATGAAGTAGTTAAGTGGTCTTGACTACTATAACCAAGTAGAATACGGTAGCAGTAACCTATTGGTACGCGTCGTAGTCGCAGGTAAGAAGTGTAGGTCAACGGCGTAGTCCAATGGGCGTCGTTATAGACTTAGACTCTCAGGGTAAGGCTCTCTTTCACGTCCGTCGGTGTTTATTAAATCACTTTAATCGAAATATCTTCAGTGAACAACAAAAAACAAAGCCTTCCCGTTTCAATACTTTTGGAGGGAACTATATATGCCTCTTATAATAAGTAGATTTCGTAGCCCGCTGAATAAAATTCAAGAGATAAAAAAAACAATAATAATGTTAATAAAAATAATAATATTTTGTATATATTATTAGGCCTTTAGATCAAATAGATGTCATTTTTAACATCTTTTCACATAATGTTTCTATTTGGTCTATTATAGTTATTGTTGTTTTTATCTGTCGAATTGCTTTCATCAGCCTAGTATATCTACATATATGTATTTATGCATGTATGTAAAAGATTTACCTATATTTTTATATATCTCTCTGAGTTCTTTAAAGCGAATTATGGTTTTGTGGAACGATTTTTGGTGCTCCAAGGAAATAGCCTTGGGTCGAACGTGATAAAACTCCGAAAAATATCCAAGTTTTCACTTCTGAATTAGAAAGTTTTTTTTTTATTCAACTTAGGTAACAATCTTTTTTTAAAGCTACCAATTAAATCTTTCTGAAAATACTTCTTCACCATTTGAGGAAGTGAGGGAGGGCTCTTTTCTACCACTTCCAATAATTACTCCTCACAAAAGCGACATTGATTTTCTTTCGTTTTCTTTTAATATATGAAACTTTTCTGGCGATTATTTCTCTAGAAATTCCCACTTTTCTGAAAGACCTCTGTTCATATAAAATCTCATGACCGTAAAATTCTTATTAAAGGAAGAATGAAAGAAGAAAAAAAATAAATTCGATATTTGATAATCATTGCTCTTAAGAAAAAGCAAGTCACAAAAAAATGTGGTCATCATTTTCTTTTCTTTTTTTTTTTTCTAATTTGATTCGAGTCACGACCAGATTTGTAATGTCTGGAGAGAATTTCTACTGGTTAGAAAATTGAGATTGAATGTCGCGAGTCGGTCAGATACTGTTTTGTCTAGTTTCGCAGCTGAAAGATTTTTTTTTTTGTTCGAATAAAAATGGCTGTATCGTTGCATTCACACAGAGAGAAATGCCTCAGCTGGGACAGTATAATGTGAATTCTCCCGATACAGTTTCGTTGAATAGCCACGTACGCGCGTGCGCACACAAGAGAAAGAATCAGAGAGAGAATAGTGAGAGCGCTCGAAAAGTCACGGCTTGAACAGTAAGAAGAATGACCTCAAGACATGAAATGTATATATTCTATTTTCTCTGTTCTCTCCTGCAGTTCAGTACATTTGACGCGCGTCTATTCTCAAGTATTTTTTTTATTCTTTCAACCGGCAACTCTACGTGTATGATCGTTGATACACAGATTTTCGGCTGATGTGGGTGAAAGGAGCAGCCTTCAGGTCTAAGCTAGGGAAGCTTTAATATACGGTGTGAATCCCCATTTTCAACCAAGACTTTTAATCTCACATATTAATAGAGTTGGATAGAATTAGTCTATTAAATGTTTCTTTTCCTAGACAGCGGCTTCCCTCTGTCTTTTCTACAAATATTTTCATGGCAACTGCTCTGATAGGCTTCTCTCTTCTGGTGTCCCGATTACATGAATTTGAGTGTGCTACGAGATTAACAACTAGCACTCACCGTTTCCATATTGAACTAGCTAGATACGACCGCCACCTCAACTTTAACAGTTTTTTTTTTCTAGCGCTTCCCGCCTGTGGAACACCCTTCCGAATTGTTGCTTCCCTGACAACTACAATCTTCAAAAAGTTAAATGCAAATTCAATTGTTCAATTCATCTTTTGTTATTTTGAACCTTGTCCTTTTTTGTCCTTTCCTCAATCTTCCCGATTTTCAATCTTCTTTTCTTTCACTTTCACTCTCACTCTCTGTAACCTCCATACTCTGTGTATTAGTGGCATTACCGCCTTACTTGGGTGAAATGATTAAAAAGGAGAAGAAAATGAACCAACAGCATTTATTTCTTCTCAGGATATGTAAGTATAAGTCAGTTATATTTTTGTCCATATATATATATATATATATATATATATATATATATATATATATATATATATATGTGTGTGTCTGTGTGTGTGTTGCATGTTTATATATGTTCCTATAAGTATTGACTTTGTTTGGGAACTGGCGCCTATAGATCGTTTTAGATTTGAGCTTGGAAGCATTGACTTGGTGCAGAGTTAGGTAAATATTGGTTCTTTCCACAGAGTCCCATGTTGAAAGCAAGTGGGGCAGTGACGGGGGGGAAAGGAACGAAAGATCTGATGTCAATGGTTGGCAGTCAGAAGAGTGATTAAGAATGATAGCAAATAGACAAAACTTACTTAGAACTACAAAAATACAGGAAATGGTGGACAGGCATGATCACCTATGCCGTGAAAAAGATGCAGCACATAGAAATGCATGGGTACCCCCACAGATATATATATATATATATATATATATATATATATATATATATATATATATATATATATATATATTGTCATCTACAGACAGACTGTTTCGCAGCTTATCAGTGTGGCTAGGCATCCGACTACCTCAAGACAGGATCGAAACCCAACTAATTTTGTATCAGTTGGAGACTCTACCCTTAAGCAATCGACGCATGGCAGCGATGAAGGTGAATTTAGATGCATTTATTTTTTTAGATATACATGTCAGTGACTGAAGAACTTCTTATATATATATATATATATATATATATATATATATATATATATATATATATATATATATATATATATATATATATATATATATATATACCGGGTTATCCAAATAGTGTAACAACAAAATTGTCCAATTTTTAGATTAAGCTTGGAACCGTTTTATCTTAGAAATGATTAAAGATATCTTAATGGAACTCTCCGAGGTTTTATAACACTATTGGACTTTACTTATATGAGAATGTATAATTACTCTCAAGCTTAACAGAAGGATCGTGATGAAATCGAAACTAAAACGAAAATGACGTTCTTCATCAATTTAACATAGCTAAGGATCAGAAGCTCATGAAAGATTGATATATATATATATATATATATATATATATATATATATATATATATATATATATTATTCTGGGATCATTTACCAACTTATTCAAGATTATCTTCGGCCTCTCTAAGCTTGTAAATTTCTGTCCTGTATTAACAAAGTGCCTCAGAGGTTTCATTTTCAAGTTTTTTTTCGCTGCTCTTTGGAATGTCATAGTTGAAACTCCTCTCTCACGTGCCAAACGTGTCATGAATTGGTTTGGATCTTTTCTAATTGATCTCTTCAGCTCTAAGTTGAAATGATGATCCCTCTTCCTGTTGTGACCTGATCCAGTTTTCCTATGTTCCCTCTTTTTAAAACTTACTCACTGTTCTCTTGATGGTTCTTGAATGGAATTGAAGATGGAAGTATGAATGTTGGTAACATTACTGAAAGCCAGAATGATCTTTTTCCTTTCACCATTGCCCATTTGGGAAGACAGTGGCTCCGACACAAAACAATTTTTACCTGTCCTTTTTCTAGCTGAATAACTCAAAGGTTTTGTCAGTGATTCTTACGAAAAATGGTGCCAAGGTGGCTAAACGTCTTATCTGAAAACCTACTTAAAAGAAACTCATTTAATTTAGAGATTCTTTAAATATTAAACATTTTGTGGGTTGGCCAATTATGCTGTAACATGATTTGGACAATTTTGCTGTTACGCACGCTATGTTATAACACATTAATGTTTAATAAATAAAAAATATAATCTTTGGGAATAATTCCTTGTACAAACAATGGCGGTGCTATCAACCATAACCTTGTTATGCAATGAACATCATCATCATCATCATCATCATCATCATCATCATGACGGAGCGTGGTTGTAGGGTCACTACGATATCTGAATTGAAAGCCAGAGAGGCATCGATTCATGTGTAGTGTGTCATTAAGGCAAGTATACCTGGCGAAGTCTATCCATCTCCAAATGATTTCAAGATGGTAAAACGTCTTATATGAAAACCTGGTAAAAAGAAACTCAATTAGTTTAGTGTTTTTTTAGATATTAAACATTTTGTGGGATGGATAATTATACTGTTACACGATTTGGACAATTTTACTGTTACACCCGGTGTGTGTGTGTGTGTGTGTGTGTGTGTGTGTGTGTGTGTGTGTGTGTGTGTGTGTGTGTGTGAAAATTCAGATATAAATGCGTCTGCCACGACATTACTAATGAAAGAAATGACAAGAGGAAAACATTTCACGTCGACGTGTTTCATTCGTTGAAGAACATCATGAAAGGTTAACGTAGAAATTTATTGATAAAAACATATAACAATAACAAAAACAACAACGAAAACATTTATTTACTTCCGTTTAACAAAGTAAATTTACATTTTTTATCGTCCTCCATTTTGTATCGTTCTCCTTTCTTTTGCTTAACGTCGAAAGGTTTTTAAATATTTCTAGAATGTTCTCTAATTAAAATTCGAACGTATAACGCCATTTGCTCTAAAGGATACCATTCTGTGTGCATATAATTTGATAAAGAAAGAGAGAGAGAGAGAGAGAGAGAGAGAGAAAGAGTCATAATTTGGTAAAGGTTGTCAATTTGGTTAGTTTCAGATATTTTTTATATATCTTATTTTACTACAGATAAAATACTACTTCAGCAAATCTTAGTGTATCGAATATTTTATTGAGAAAGAGTTTTTGAAAAACTGTTTCTCTTCTGTAACGATCTTGTCCTACCTGAACTCATAACCAAACCACAGATTATGACTACACATTTAGACAAATCCAGCAACGTCTTTTAAAACAACGAGTAAAATGTAAAGATTTATCAACTTTGAAAAATGTTCTAATTTCATCAACGAATACGTCTGGGTCGACAGGTTTTGTTTTGTTTTTTCATGCGCCTGTCGCGCTTTTCGAGTTGAAAAGTTATGGAGAAATTGTTTGCTACTTTAATATTATTATGGCGGAAGAAAAGCAAAGTTTTGTTTTGTGTTAATGTCGTTTTACAGACGCCAGACGAAAAATTCAATTGATTTTCATCGAAATCTAAGGTTTGCTTTGTGACTTGATCGGTGAAAAACACTTGTCTTTTAAGTTGGACACAATTTAGGAAAACATCAGAGAAAGTTTTTTTTTAAGCGCTTAAAGGCAATGAGTCCGATTATATTGCTTAATGATGTTACTTCATTTATCAGATATGTCTCTTCAGAGCATAGCCGATCAAGGTTCTCCACAACTTCCTGTCTTGTGTTGCTCTAATTAAATTTTAAACCCTTTACCATTCCTCTTTACTCTTGTTATGCCTTCCATTTCTTTAATGTGTTAATTCTCTTCAGTACATAACAGATCATTGCTCTCCACAACTTTCTATCTGTTGTTGCTCTCAAGTTTTAAATCCTTTACCATTCCAGATTTTCCTTCTTATATCATCCATTTCTTTTATGCGCTAATTCTGTTCAAGACATAACCAATTATAGTCTTCCACAACTTCCTGTCTTTTTTAACATTGGCTTTTTATAATTCCTATTTGTCTTTGTTCTGCCATTCATTCACTTGCTATGTCTCTTCAGGACATGGCCTACCATGGCTCTCCTCTACTTTCTTTCTTTTGTTGCTCTAAGTAACTTTTAAATCCTTCAGTATACCTATTTTTCATTCTTCTGCCATCCATTCACTCATTCGCTTTTTACCTTGCTGCTTTTTTCATTTAAATTCTTTTAAATACTTTATCCTATATTCCTTATGTATCTAAGAGACTTCACTTGTCTCATTCTTATTGTAAGTATAAGTTTCTTTGTTGATCCTATTTTCCAAAAACTTTACTCATATCTTCAGTCCATGACATTCACGGCAATAAGTTAAAAGCGTTTGATAAGGTACGAAAAAAAAAGAAAGAAAAAAGAATCGTTTGAATTACTAAGTAAGTAAACTATTATTCCAAAATCTAAGTATTAAGAAACAAGAAAATCTCTTCAAAAACAAAGAAAAAAAGAGTACTAAATTGTTATGTAATATCAGCCTTCCTATATGTTAGTAAATGCTGGACAATCTTCTCACATATGGAGAAGAAGAGACTTGAGGGAATAGAAATGTGACTCTACAGAAGGATGTTGAGATTACCCATGTATGGAGCATGTAAGCAACGACGAAGTTTTATAGAAACTGGGAACGAAAAGAACACTTATATTTAAAATCAGAAAGCCACATTTGAAATTTCTAGGACACATAATGAGGAAAGAGGGTCTGGAAAATTTGATAATCACAGGACATATTGAAGCCAGGAGGGACAGATGAAAACAACACATAACTTACCTTTCGAGGTTGGGTAAATGGATGACTGAATAAGATTTAGAAGAGATAACAGAAAGAAAAAAAATATTAAGAGCTACAAAGAACGGGAAATTGTGGAGAGCCACGATCCCCTACTTCCTGAAGGGATACGGTACATAGAAGGAGAAGAAGTAGCTCGATCCTCATATGGTGCTACATAGTTTCGGCCTTAAATAGTAAAGAAGGTAAACAAAAATTGACGAAAGTACAAGGAACAAAGAAAGAAAAGAAGAAAGAAAAGAAGAAAGTAAAAAAAGAAAGAAACGAAAGAAAGAAAAAAGAAAAAAAGGCACAAATGAATCATAAATAAACAAAGAAAAATACCTTTTTTCGTAAACCTCTTGAAAGGGGAGACAACTACATAAAAAATGGAAGAAAGGAAGGAGACAAGAAGAAAATTAAAATACAAAAGTAGTGAACGACGAAATAAAAGTAAAGGAAACATTAATAAAGGGAGAACAAACAGAAAGAAGGAAACAACATAACAGAAAAATATAATCTTATCTAAAATTCTTTGATGAAACACTATAAATTATTCCCTAGGATTTCATCCATTTTATTTCTCTTGCGTTTTATTACACGTTTAGTATTATGGAAGGCAGGATGAAGCAATGGATAGTGTCTTGGATTTAGGAATCGCAGAGCCGAGTTCGAATTCCAGTCGAATCCATTACATTCACTTACATGCGAATTCTCTACTTATAGGGACAGACTGGGTTCTATAGCCTTGGATGGCAACTGGTCTAGAAGAAGCTCAACTCTGAATTCAAAACCTGCAGAGGGTCGTTTGAGGTTTTTGTGGCATGCAGGGCACCCGGTATCTGTATACGGCCCTTCAAAAAGTGTGGTTGGTTCTGCACAAAACCTTCACCATTATAATCAAATTATATGTGCATATGTCTGGCTGTCGGTTCCTAGGAACTAAGTTGCTTGAACCTCATACGTCGAATAATGACGGAAGAGTCCAGTCAGTATTAGATGCATTTTCTTTCGTTATTACTTTATGTCTAATATTTCTTTCATCTGATTTCTCTTGCTTTTTATTTTAAATGTGTTAAAGACAGCGTGTTTGCTTGACACCAATCAAAAAATATTGGATAACTAAAATTGCGCGATTCAAAATTCCAGTGTTCAACTAAAGAACATCTTGTAGAAATATTTTAATTTTTTATATGAAATATACTTTTTAATCATTTCACCCCGAAGCAAGGCGATAATGCCTCTACGACGCAAGGGTTTATTGGTAATAAAAGAAAATGTGAGGAGAATTGACGAAGATGACAATAAAAGAAAGATGGTGACAGCGTTGCATTTCAATTTTTGAAAGATTGTAGGCGGCAGAGAAACAAGAAATCGGAAGGGAGCTCCACAGACAGGAAGCGCGAGAAAAGAAACTATTAGAATAGAACTTACGGTTGCATCTAACTAGTTCAATAGTAAAACGGTGAGACCTAGTTGCCAATCTAGCAGTATGCTTCAATTCATGCAGTCAAGGCACCAAGTAGAAAATCTCATCAGAGCAATTGTCCTGAAAATATTTGTAGCAAAGACAGAGGAAATCTACATAACGTCGGTGAGAAAGTGACTGACATCGAGATGCCAGGTCAGGATCGATTACATCACAGATTCTTCTTTGGATTTTGTCAAGACTCTCGTGATATATAGTAGGAGCACCCGACCAGATATGACAGAAACAATATTATAAATACACGAACGAACGGTATATTTATAAATGTGCAAGATGGATTCTGACAAAAAAAGATTTCTGACACGACACAGTGAACCAACTTCCCTAGCAGAAGACCAAGCAATTGATTCAATATAATCATACCACTAAATATCAGTGGAAAACACGTTAGCCAAAGAAGACACAAAGAGGTGCTTCCCTCGAGGTTAGTATCAGTCATGCTGATGACAGACAAAAAGTTCTCTATAGTGATTAAATGAAAACTGTTTTGTTTTGGAGGCGTAAAAATATACAAGCCATTCCTTGCCACAATTAACAATTGATTGGGGTTCATTTTCGAGAGTATTTACCAGTTTTAATTTATTGCCAGTTATTCAGTTTTATTCGTATTTCTTTCATCTGATTTCTCTTGCTTGTTATTACACAAATAATATTAAATATATTCAAAATCCCAATACCCCAAATAAAGAAAATTTTGTAATATTATTTTAAATTTTAAATGACGTATTGTTAAATTATTATTATATTTTTAATAGCATTTCATTCATCTTAATTCTATTGATTTTTATTGCCACTAATTTTATTAGATACACTGAAAATCCCAGTGCTCAAGTCTAAGGAAAGAACACCGGGCAAACATGGACATTTGTGCCCACAAAAAAGTGTCAAAAGGATGTTTTTTCCTATGACACCGCTATTATTATAACTATCTTCACTTCTCGGCAATGTTTATCGTTTTCAAAAATGATGATTAGAATTGTAAAAAAAACTAAACATATGACGGATTTTATACATTTTCTTTGTTCTTGAGAATTAGCAACAAAAATAAGAAACATTATTTATCACATTGTTTATTTACACTGTTTATTTATTATTTAGTTTATTCTAATAGTTGGCAAACCATTGGCTAATACAATTGTTTGTAGAATGTTAATATAAATCATTCTTGTAAATAAACAATCGAATAAATAGCGTTTAATATTTTTGCTGTATATTCCCAAGAAGAAAAATAAATGTATAAATTCCCTTTCATGGTACGTTTATGTTTATTATTATTCTAGTCATCGCTTTTTAAAACGGTAAACATTGCCGAAGAGTAAAGGTAGTTAAAATAATAGCGGTGTCAAGGGAAAAAAGTACCCTTCTGTCACTCAGTTTTATTTCTTAGCTGAAACATTGTCATTTGGTGTTCTTTGAGACTGGAAATAAAGAATAAGTTTTCAGCAAGATTTGAACTCGGATCATAACTTTCCAGGACACCTACTTTGTTCAATTCATTAAATTTTGTACAATGAAGATTTTTTTTTTTTTTATCTTGGAATTGTGATAACATGTAACAGAAATGAGACGATAAGAAATACGAGTCAAAAATTAAAAATAATAGATATTTTTTTTAGATATTGTTAAATTTAATACAAACTTACATCGTCCTGAACGACATCACCATGTCTAACGTCCAATTCCTGTTAATCTCGAAATTACGCAGGTGCTCTGGAGGAAAACCCACAAAAATAGAAAGTCATGATTAAATTGAAAATAAATAAGAAATGAAAAAA